CATATAACTCGACAACTATCATAATAGTTCCTATGCTATCCCTCTTTTCATTTCATCTTATTTTCTTCTGTCTTTCCTGTTTTCAAATCAATAACAACGAGAATGAGTTTAATAAACGTTTTGTCATTACGTGATATATCTAATAATTTTATATTGTACTGTCGGGGAAGGGGCTAGGAAGTTGTAGAACTTGTGCCCACTTCATGTGACTGTTTTGTCAATGAAACAAGTTTGTGAATGATTGAGTTACTCCAAATGGTTAAATGTTGCTTCATGCTATAAAACATGAAGAATGAATTTTACTGAAATATCTTACACAATCAGACAAATCGAGAACATCTCTCAATCATCCCCGTCAAAATACACCCAAGGATCCCTCTGTCCTTCAACCTCCACGTTTCCGGTTAAATTCATGAATGCTCGTAGAGGTGCGGTTGTCTACCAGACATATGCTTGTGTAGTTGGTGGGTTTGGAGGCCATCGTCGACATTAATTCTCGTGCTTAAACGAACCAATTTTCATAGTGTAAACAACGTGACATCGTAAACAGCGTAACGTGTAGTTTAGTGTGCGGCTCCCAGAGACGTCCTGACAGATATATAGCAATATAAACAGTTTGAGAAGGAAAGAAAAACCCATTTTCTCCAGAACAAACAGGTTACAAAATGGCCGCCATAGGAAATAAAACATTAAAAACTGCAGACCATCGACGCTGAAGACATGTTTATGAGCTAGGCTGTTTGTCTGAATACATTTTCAGAATAGTGAAAAATCTCAGCGATTTAATCGGTTTTACTTATTGTACCGGGAAATGATTTTGGCAAGAACTGTTCTTGCCTTACAATTTAGTAGTAACTGTTACTCCGTCATCAGTTTTTGTAACAGTAGTAATACAGGTACGCAAGACAAACATACAAAAATAAACAAAATGCGTTGACAAAAATTAAGAACATTTAAGTATTCAATTTACAAACGAACAATATTCAAGTAGAATCTAGTAATATTTTGCTTATGTGTTTACTGTTCCGTCATTTCTATGATGATGTTGTCTATTATTTAATTAGTATTTTGAGTATATATGATTTTCATAATGATTGAAGACATTATACACATGTTATTTATAAAGATGTACCTTTGGAAGATTGTTAATAATCTGTTAAACAAGGACGTGGATCCATTGTTAAATGTAGTCTAATTACAAGTAAGATGACAAGGCTTCAGTTTACTGCTCACAGATCACTATATTTAACCAAGAGGAATGATATTGAAAATACATCTGCACCTCACAGAAATAAACAATTGTAGGGAAATGCTTGCCAATGTTGCACTAGCAACGATATATAGTGTTTGTAGAACGTTGCCGCTCCTACCGACATCTCCAGGTCCTGCTGTGCCTCACTCTGGCATAAAGATGGTGTATGAATTGTACTTAATACAATCTTAAACAACGTATTACAAGTGTTTCTTCACTGGTTACCCTTTCAATAAATAAAGAGGTTTCTTTATTTTAAAGGAGATATAATTTGTTTCCGCCATGCCAGTTTCCTTTTACATGATGTTTGGATGGCGGATATATATTTTTTATTTTTGAATGATAAAAATGTTAAATCGATCAGAGCGTTATAAAATCTGTGTTGCTCATGTAACTTTGAATGCCAATGGAGTTTGATACGCATGCGTAGGAGATCAATAGACACTTTCTCGGTAAAGATGAATGACTTGTCAGATTGCAAATACATTACAATATAGACGCACATGACGTCAAATAGCCAAACTAAAAGGAGAAATGAACGAGAGTGAATGTAAAATATTTCACCATTTGGATAAAGGATTTACAGTTATTTATTAGGAAAACTCCCCAAAATAACCTGAAGCATTCACATGAAGCTGTATATTACCTTAGAGATCATAATTTCATGTCTTACCTACACTAATTATTTAACCGGGGAAGGAATGTCTCGGCTCTATTTGGGTACATACCGGAGGATCTTGATTTTCATACATTTTATGCAGATTCGTCAACAAAATGTGAAAGAGTAAAAGACATGACGAAACTATTGTATTTGTAATAACATTGCTACATGCAGGAGACGTACATTTTATTGAAGCTGTAATAACATTGCTAAATGCAGGAGACGTACATTTTATTGAATTTGTAATAACATTGCTAAATGCAGGAGACGTACATTTTATTGAATTTGCAATAACATTGTTAAATGCAGGAGACGTACATTTTATTGAAGCTGTAATAACATTGCTACATGCAGGAGACGTACATTTTATTGAATTTGTAATAACATTGCTAAATGCAGGAGACGTACATTTTATTGAATTTGTTATAACATTGCTACATGCAGGAGACATACATTTTATTGAAGCTGTAATAACATTGCTAAATGCAGGAGACATACATTTTATTGAATTTGTAATAACATTGCTTAATGCAGGAGACGTACATTTTATTGAATTTGTAATAACATTGCTACATGCAGGAGACATTCATTTTATTGAATTTGTTATAACATTGCTACATGCAGGCGACATACATTTTATTGAAGTTGTAATAACATTGCTAAATGCAGGAGACGTACATTTTATTGAATTTGTAATAACATTGCTACATGCAGGAGACATACATTTTATTGAATTTGTAATAACATTGCTAAATGCAGGAGACATACATTTTGTTGAAGCTGTAATAACATTGCTACATGCAGGAGACGTACATTCTATTGAAGTTGTAACGAATATATCGGTATTATAAGCACTATTATGGCAGTTGAACTCGTATGTCGATATTATTGTTGTCAATTTGATATGATTAATTTACTGTTGTTTCGTTATGTTGTATGATATTTGCGTGTGTATTTCTTTGTATTCGGTGTTGTTTCGTGGTTTGAGTTAATATTTGGCGTGCCCCTGTTGTTTCATTATGCTGTATGGTATTAGTGTATGTGTTGTTTTCGGTGTTGTTTCCTAGTTTAAGTAGCTATTTGGCGTGCCCCTGTTGTTTCATTATGCTGTATGGTATTTGTGTATGTGTTGTTTTCGGTGTTGTTTCCTAGTTTAAGTAGCTATTTGGTTGGCCCCTGTTGTTTCATTATGCTGTATGGTATTAGTGTATGTGTTGTTTTCGGTGTTGTTTCCTAGTTTAAGTAGCTATGTGGTGTGCCCCTGTTGTTTTCGGTGTTGTTTCGTGGTTTAAGTAGCTATTTGGTTTGCCCCTGTTGTTTCATTATGCTGTATGGTATTAGTGTATGTGTTGTTTTCGGTGTTGTTTCCTAGTTTAAGTAGCTATTTGGTGTGCCCCTGTCTATAATTATTTGTTTGTATTCCACTGATGTATGTTTTCCTGTCGGTACCAATACGTTACCGTCCGTGGTATCATTTGTCCTCTTGTTATACCGTTGCTTAACTCTAAACACACTGTTTTCTGTTTCTCATTGCTACCTTCTATTGTTAAATTGTTTTTGTTCGTACTGGTTTTCCAATCCGAAGTAATTCAATGTTTCCTGATATTTGTTCTCAGTGTTTTTGTTTGTATCTCGTTTCCTCTCTCTTGCCACACCTGTGTTGATAGTTCGATGTTTCCGTTTTGTTAAATTTCTGTGTTTGTTATCACCTCGTTACTCGATGGTGTCACGTGACTCACATCTATGTTTTGGGATCCAATCTCCTTTTAACCCTTTGTCATTGCTTGTGTTTGCAACGCATAATTTCTTTCGATTATATTGCGTTTGCTTTATTTCTGTAATTGGTGTGAAATTATCGAATGAGTTTGCATACATTGATGTTTTTTTCAACTTATATTTTTTCTAAATATGTCATTTTCCTAAACAAATCCCTAAAGCAGATTCCGTTACCTTTGTTTGTTTTAAATGAAAACTGATTGGCACATCATCATATTGAATATTTTAACTAAAAGCAATATTTTGAAATAGATAAACGGCATCCTTGAATTATTGAAGGAGGAAGGAATGAGATAGGAGTATCGTCAAGTCTTGAACTCATACATACAGATATACTGATCATGTATGGTATTGAATAAGTAGAACGTTGTGTCTCATCAATCTTCTAGAGGATGACCCAAGCAGCCTCTTCTTCATAAGAGATATTGGACATTAATATAGTTATAATGATAATTTATAGAAGTGATTTAACAGTATATACTTTATCTCGTCATTACCAATATGACAAGTTCCCCTGCTGGTAGAGACTGAATAGCCCTGCAAGAGCCTGTTGTAAAAGTCAAAAATGTATTGGTAGTTGAGTCTACTGACCATTAAAATATGGAGCTTTATTTTCTATTGTAGACAACTTCATGTACGCTAAAAAAAATGAAGCGACCTTATTCACAACATCGACATTTCAACCCAACGTTAACCCTCCTTGTTCACCGCATTTCGTTTTAGAATGTCTGCGATATTGCACAGTATCTGCCATTTAACTTTGTGCCAATACTGTATAGTTCATCGCCATTACTCAACGCTATTTCGCACTGGTATTTCTTTCACAACATAAGAAACCCAACATCATGACTTCCGTAAAAGCCTAGAAAGGAATGTAGGTCAGTAACAATCTACTGTGTCGTCAAATATTAATTTGATATTTCATTCAACATATTGACAATAACGAATAATATATCACCATTATTTAAGGATGTCGCTTTAGTGTTTTCCTCCACCACATGTGGTACCCGTCAGAGTGTCTCCCACGCTGGATAGTATTCCCACCACCAACAAACTAAGACATAATGACCTTAATCTTATGTTTGTCATTGAACATGTTGTCAATGTTCATCGTCAATCAAAATTACTAAAGGTCATATATTGTAAGCGTTCCCTGCTTCATAAGTGGTACCCGTCACTTTGCTCCCGTCAAATCCAGGTAAGTGTGCTGTTCATCAACGATTTAAGGTTGATTAAGATCATTTAGGTTGAAACGTCACCATATTGAGAGATTATATTTCGCTACATAACAACAAAGACATTTTTATGTATTTGGTATTTAATTTGTTTGATATTCACAATATATGAGACATAGTTGAACATATTTTGTACAACAAATAACATCATATCACATATTGGCAGACCAACAGTCAATAGTTAACGCCAGCCAGACAAATGTATAGGACAATAAAGTTCCAATACATACAGGTACATATATTATAACATAAGGCCAATGCCATTATTTCTGTGAAAATGAAAAGTTCATAATATACTTCCATACAAAAATATTTCAAAAATACTGCTTTAGCAAAATTTCAACAACGGATGAACACTTTTCGAACTCGATAAAAATATCAATATTTTGTTTTAATATAGATATGCCCACTTTATATATGCAGTAAGATTGTGATTCAAAAACGTTTATCTTTATTCATTCTAAACTGTTAAACTAAAAAATATTCATAAACTAGCAAATTTATTCATTAAACAATATTTTGTTAGTGAAAAACGGACACATTTTTATCTGTCGGTTCTTCTTATCTTATTATTCCACAGAAACATTATTATATAATAATCATTTTCACAAGGAACAATTTCATTTCCATATGATCTTTTTCATTTTCAACAACATTTTACATATTTACAAAACAACACAAAAACATGTAGGTTTGCAGCACTATAAACACGTAAGCTCAGCGAAACATATCACATTTTGATTTATTTGTAGTATTGAACCATATTTCTTCATTTATTGAAAGAAATAGTACTTCAAAGACATACGGAACAGAAATGCCTCTTTCATCATACAGTCCTCCGTAACATGTATTCAGGACGTTTGGTATACTATTACTTAGTGTAATCGTTGAAGTAGCCTCTGCCTAGCCCTATAGCAAATCATTCGTTTAATATGTTTAGATTCCTATTCAAGAAAAATAACCTCTCAAGTATAGCCAAGAACACGGTGTTACCAGGAGGTTTCGGCTATGTTGTTAACACATTAACTGTAAGGTGGAGATTCTTAATAAAGAAAAATTTCTAGTGTAGAAAGGAACATGAGGTAACCAGTATAATTGATTTTTCTGTTCACAAATTACCCCGATATGTAGAGATTCCTAGTCAAGATCATTGGATTACTACAACAGCTGACTATTTTGGAAAACTTTAAATTTTCAATTCATAACGTATTCAGATAGGACAGGGGCAGCAACATCGATAGTGATATACTAGGAATTAAATATCGAAGTAACGGCTACATCTCTAGGGTATTAATCTATCGTCTACATATCAATTTGCCTTAAATAAAAATGAACATGATATATATCAACAATGTATGACGTCATCCGTATGACGTAATACAATATGTATACCATGCAGCTTCGTCAAGACGCTATAATTGGGAACACACATATAGGCAAGAATAGGCCAACGTTGGATATACATAGGGACTGGTCCAAAAAGAGTGTATGATGATGAATAATTGGTATAAACTGTAGGCATTACACTTGTATAATATCAGTAGTACACATCAAAATTCTATGATATTTACTCGAGAGACTCAAGACTGAGGTAATTGTACATACATTTGTATATAACTATCATAACCACTCAGGAAACCTTTCTCTAACGCTCTTTCTCACAATCTCATTCCTACATTTCATCAAAAGTCTCTTAATTCATAGCAAAAAAATATCATTTAGGTAATTGTTTTGATATCTTGAATATAGTCGTGGTGTGATAAGAACATACGCATGTACATGAACATTATCCTTAATGGTTGAATGCGTATCAGACTTATTGACAACAAATTGAAAAAACGAAATAAAGAATTTGCCATCTTGTACATGAAACATGGGTAGATCATATCGCCTGATCATTGCTATAGAACAGGTGAAGTTATGTGGGGTGAAATATAAGGGAACTGATGAAAGAAAGTGTATCTATATATGTATCACATACCGTGATAAAGATTGAAATGATTGGCTAACGACTATCTTGACACAATGTCATAGTACGCAAGCGCACGGCTCCATGCGCTCGCACCTGCCCTATTCGCGAGCATCGTTATGTGAATAAAGTTAAAACATAGTTATGGCTTATAACATATAGTTATATGAAAACAGAATATTACTGGCTTAAATAATTTTAGTCTTTGATATTTTATCACATACATATATATCACTAACGAATGAAAAGATGAATTTATCTAGATGAATAAATTATAATGAAGACAGTATCATAAAAAAACTGAAACGTCTGACGTCATTGCTAACGTTCAAATAAGGATACATTCGAAACTACAAAAATATCATAATAAATACTCTGTGTCCTATCATCTTGCCAAGTAAACGACACCAATGGAATTGTTAGAACGATATTCTTTACAGAGACGCAGCATCTTACCCTAGAATACCGACAATAAAGAGTATATATAATATCATAAACACACATGTTTACGTCCAATAGTCAAGGCGATACGGGTCTGGTGTTATGTCCTATATCTTGACCAAACACAGACCATGAATGTCCATTTATCGTAATTGGTATATTTTCAAAAGCGCAATTCTGATTCGTACTAATGCTTTGTAACTCGTGTGCCTGTGTGATAGCGCGTATCTGCAGGCGGGGTTCCGCTGGCTTTATATTCGTCCATTGTCACTTTAGCACATGACGGCGATTTGTAGCACATTTTGTAACTTCCTGTTTAGCTTCAATTTCCAAGATTAGAAGGACGTGCATTCCTATCAAAGGATTGGGACTTAGCACAACTGGAGGTCATCTGCATATCCCTTGCACATGCTTAACCGGAAGCTGTCATTATAGTCATTTTGCCCTGTTAGGCTTTTGATTCATGTGTCTATAGGAAGATTATCTCCCCTTTACTTACACGTATGCTCGTCGATTTCTCGTTCACATTTTTGACACGTTACGTAGCAACACCAATGGAACTTACAGGAACACCTGTCCACTATTTTTCTCCTACGGGTCTCGTATCCTCTACCACAGCACATTAAATCACATCCATCAATTGCTTTTGATGTCTTGTTGCATACCCTCCCCGTTGTGCCGAGGGATCCCGTCTTGGGGTCTGGCTCACAAAAGTCAGGGGAGGCGATCAGATATACGAGATCTGAGTTAGTGTGAGGTTTAAATTGTGGGTTTACAGGAATAAGGCGAGGCCGTAACTTGTTTCTATCCAGTTTCACTTCGGTTGCTCCATCAAATTTTTCTTTGATAATTTGTCCAATATTTCTGAATGTAGGCATCGCTCTCCAACATGTCTTCAGCTCACAAGAACCAGAAACACCATGGCATTTACACTGTTTCATCATATTATCTTCAACAGCCTGAAACAATCCAACAAAACAAACTATTAAATACACTATTAAGAAAATATTTCAGAAGATATAAAAATGTGTATCATAAAAAGTGAGTAATAAATCAATGTATAGCTCTCTTTTAGATTTGGCAAATGTAATTACTAATTATAACAAAGAAAACAAAATGTAATTAAAAAAAGAAACTTCAAACTATTTTTATCGGAATTTGTTAAGGTGTTAAATCAATTTGAGTGACAAGTGTGTTAAAAATCGCCTTATTTTTAAATAAGTTTAAACCTACCATCAATCTTTTGATTGATTATATAGTAAGATGTATTAGTTTCCTTTTTCATTTTATTTTAGAATTAGAACGCACAACATCAGCTTTATTTTAAGAAGAAATGCCGCGGTTTTTTTCTATATAACACAGTGTTTGACATCCACTAAAATAAAATGAAGTGTCAGAAGGCGACAGTTACAGATAATTGAATCAGTTTATCTACCTTTTTATAGGCGCACTTGTCATGAGAGAAACTAAGATTTTAGATAAATCATTCTGGGAGTTGTATAACCGTTCACTGTGAACTTTGACGAGCTTATCCGATAACGTGGTTAATGGAAACGTTAATGGCGTTCATTCTGATGATATATGACTGACCTTGTGTCAACGGTGGAAAACACATCGAACCCAAAAATCCGGGGAAAAACAATATGGCTCAGATGCAATGGTACTTTACTTTAGGTTTAAAAGTGTAGATTGTAATATCCATATCAAATACAAACACTACCTGAAGGGGATGGTCCGTCTTGCTCGACAGAATTACCAATTTACTTGTTTGTATGAAAGTGGCTATAAGCATGGAGCGTAAACGAGGCTGAACGTTAAAGCGCTCGAGGTTTTGAGAGGAAAATACGTCAATGCTATCCGGTACAAACAGTTTATGATTTAATGAATCTTCACTGAGAATGTCGAGATTAATTAATATCAACTAAGGATCCTAGGCTATTCTGGTTAATCAGACTTCATATGAACCTCCTGCACACATTTTGGTTACCAGCGACGCATTTAAACTTAACGTCCTCTTAATACGATACACGTGTTAGGGAATTGCTATTTTACATACACTTGGTTCTGTATTGTAAATAATTCGCGAAGATGATCGTTTGTGATTTTTTTTTATTAATATTCAGTATCGTCACACTTATAAAGACAATATAAGGTGTAGGTCAGTCAAGAGGTGCGGAGATTGTTATCAACTTTTGAAATATGTGTAATGCTTCCCTTTCCTTTGTGTTGTTTTATCAATGCGCCGGGGGCGCTCTAGTATAACTTAACTCGTATCTGAATTTATCGTGGGTGCAGTTTGTTTTTTGTTTTTGTTTTTTATTTTATTTCACGAAGAACCTGTTGGATATCATACACTAAGCCGTAGGCATTGATTTTATCAATTACGAGATTAAATATGAAGTCCCTAACAAAAGTGTGAGATAACTATCGCTGAAGGAACCTTGATTTATAATACTCCTTGCTTTTAATTGGAACCTGTTTAATTTATGTTGTAGACGGCAGTACTTTGAAAACATTTTCATACACATTTCTTCAAACAAAAGGTTGACACATAAACGGATTATGTATGATTTGAATAATCCGTGTTGGAACTAGATATAAATCATATTCATATCAGCGCTTGTTCGAAAGAGTTAACTATGGCGTCAAGCCTCTAACTAACCAAGATATAACTACCAGAAACTCTTGAGAAGATAGAGAAGCATTCCATATACTTGGCAATGAGAAATATGCAACGATTTGGTCATATACTATTACATTTGTCTGGAAAACACGTGGCGTTCAGCATGTCAAGAACATTTCCATCGGTACACAAATTCAATGAAAAAAATAAGATTTTCTGATAAGTTCCCACTGAAAAAGGTCAACTTACAGTCGCGTGCTGTTAGTACTTTCTTCTAAAACGTTTCAATCGTTCTTATCTCCTCTTTTCTTGCTTAGTCGGTTTATTGTTTCATCTCCCCAAAACAAGATTTTTCAGTGTTATAATTCTGTAGAAAGAGTGATCTTATTTGCATGTATATTTCTCACTAACAATCATACGAGGAAAAACATCTCCTTTTTTCTTCATTTATAAGTGATTAACTATATAACTTCATGCAGCAGCCTAGAACTGTTGGTCCTGTACTAAACCGCCATTTAATTCATTTTGCAATAAATGTTTAAACTACCTTCACCTTGAAAATCTCCAGTTACATTGGAATTTAATTAAATGCAGCCAGAACTGCAACATTCACATTTAAATTTTCACCCCTATCTGAGATAAGGGTTTGTTTATAATCTAGAACACGTGCTCGTCTCGTAATCTTGACTTACCAATATTTACACAGTCTTTTAGGCGTTAGTAAATATCACTATTGTACCATAAACAATCTGTTTTTGTCTTAGATATTTTAGTCTTTCCCTCGATCTTCATTCGTACAGCGGTTTACCAAGTACACTGTGTTATATTTCCTTCTGCACGTCAAATCCACGGCTAGAACATCTTTACATTTAGGTGCCCTTCCATTTCCCTATCATAATTGGCTAGGAGTTCTATCGGTGTTATCTTGTTGTATTAATGCATTTAGGACAGTACCATTTCAACACCATAAATTAGGTTTCTGATCACGACTAATATGCGTTTTACATTTATCATTTCTTGACATAGTTAATAGGTATGAAGATCAGGATAAGAATGCTGTTTTCATTTTATGTCCTTAAATCCGACTTACTGTTGAGTTAACATGATAAAATAGGATGCAGTTTTAGTCCCGTTTGTAGTATGATATCACTGATTCACACCAGGTTTGCGTTTTGATATAAATTTGATTTAGGATAAGATTTATATTCGATAATTACAGTTTACAAATTTACGTTTGCTTAATTGAATTATCTGTTGGGACACGAAACTAGCGTATGTCTCCTCCATAGTTAAATGTTAAAAAAAAAAAAAAACAGACTTAAAATCTGTTCTTGATAATAATATTTCGTGTGAATGATAATAAGATGTGTTTCACATACCGATACAGTCATATGCTATTAAGCAGTTGACCGTGAATTTTCTCAATCGTTAACTTCGTATTAATATCGACTGATTGATGCAGAATGGTTTTCACTCGACGTCCTATTACGATACCACACTACGAACCCCCAGCGGAGAAGTTTCGCCCCCCGTCACTAAAAACACTTTACGAGCTAGTCGTAAAATTTCTGACTCGGCCACACCGGCTCTAATTCGGCTATTATCAAAACGTTAATATTTTATCAAAATTGACATGTGACCCGATGCCAATAAAATATAACAAATGTTCGAGCCTGGCATCACGGTAGTTAGCGGTGATTTGTTGACCATTCGTTTGTCTGGTCTAATCCGATCGGCCGGAGGTCCGGTCACTTCGGTCGATATATCATCCACTAACGTGCCATCTGTCGGCAGAAGAAGCTGGCGGGCAGACAATCGTTGTGTTAATGTCGCCCACAAATGTCATGTGACATGTTATATGCTAATTTAAATGTACGAGGCCCGTTGCCAGTGAAAGATCTTTACACATTGTCCAATGTTTTTTTATATAGATATGTTGACTATCAACACCTGGGTTTCGGACATTAGACTTGACCGCTTGACCATAAATCACACATGTTTTATGACCTTGAGCACTACAATTTGTTTGCTGATAAATTGGGACGTCTTATCTTCCATCCGATGATTGTTAATGCAGAATAAATCTAATATTTTTTTTTTTTGGGGGGGGGGGCATACTTATTATAGTATGATATTTCTAGACTGTTAGATGAATTAAATTCTATGATAAATTACACAACGTCATATGATCGTTTATCTTTAGTATTTCTTTATGTTTATTAATTATCTGCTTATCAATTCACTTGTTTCGGTAAGATATAAAATAGCATTTTCTAATAGATATCGTCACTGCACTTAAACACTCGTTTAAAAAATCAAGTTTATAACAGCTTCCCTTTTATTTGTGTTACCAGGACAGCGAATCATATATATATTCTATATGCTAAACATATGTAATGTTTACCGAGGAAGTCTGACTTGGTGGGGCTTAGCCTTTGAAGGGCCTAGTTGTAACTGTTTACTGCTGGTAAACACATGGACAGTACATTAGCCGATTAAAAAGTTAGACGTGGAGACCTTATCCCTGGATACCACGGATTTCCACAACTTGGCAGCACCATTAACATTGACAAATGAATGCAAGGGTTTCCCAACCTAACTATTCATCTGCAATTTAAAATCCTAGCTCGTATTCCGTAAGCTTCACAGCTCCAAAACTGAAGTTAATTTATAAGTTGTATTTTTACCATTTATGACATATTTTGTATAAAAACACTTATAATCTGACATATTGCTCTTTTCCGTTCTATGGGAAATCTTTGGGTAGTGAACTACAATTATAACCAATAATTGTAGAAAATCAAGTGAAAATGATGGAAGCTGAGAAGATCGTATATCCGCCAAACCTGGTATATCATCATGATAAAGATGTGGAGGGAACTCTATTTAAATCTGTAATATGTACCGAGTCATTTATATTGTTTGTTTAGAGAAATAAATTCACATTTCAGAACAGTCATATTATAATTTTTTTCATTCACAAATTCAGTCCTTAAATATTGATGAAATAAGCAATCAACTCCGCAATTATAAGGGGTAAGCTCTTCGTTCTATCGCTTAAGGTGTCTACACGACACTTTCTTCCTTTCATCGCTTGCAATTATCAATACATTAAATGAATATAAATACACCTTAAAAACTCGTGGTAATCGAGATTGAGGACCTATCGTTAGATATCAATCATATTCATGGTCGCAGAAATGCTTAAAAGGGCAGTGGATACAAAACGTTTGAAAGAACAGGAAATATCAAACCTCGATTGATAGAATTAAGTAGTAATTATTAGATAATTTGTGAATTGAAGTTCAACTTCAATGCTGTTTTTTTCTTAAAAGG